TGCAAGAGTTTCTACACAGCCACAGATTAAAAACCTGTTCATTTGTTTATTGAGGTAGAGTGTTTAGCTTGTGCATATTATTCCTGTGTTCTTTCCACCATCAGTTTTTAAGAGATGGGATTTTTTAATTTTCACATGGAAAACTTCCAAGGACAGGGAATGGAGGATTTGGTTTATTATTATATCAAACTGGAACATATATAACAGAGCAGCGCTCCTTAAATATTGCATTGTGGTGTCACAGCGACCAGACACAACTCTAAATTAGTGGACCCCTTAATCTAGTGACAAGACTCTCTGCATCCTGTACGTAGCCACAATTGGGGCTAAAAGGGACTTGTGTTCTGTAGGCAGGAGCTGTGACTGATGAATCAATGGACAATTTTCTTTGTCCACATGCATAAGTTTGCTAAACTACTTCCATGTGACAGTTGCTTTTGCTTGTCTGTCTTGTGACTTGAACCTGAGTTCCAAGTCAAGAGTGCTGTCAGCAGGCCCAGCTGACAGCAGTAATATTTCCATCATTATTTCCTGTCAATGTATGCTCGGTTGAGGTAAACAACAATAAAAACCATGCACCTTAACAATTAAGCAAATGTACAATTACATGATGATGACCACCCAGCAGCATGAAATAATCATGTGCGGATGTGAAACTTGTTAGCTAATAAGTCCAAGGAATAAAAAAGTTCGTTTCACCTTTGCAGAAACATATCATCAACCTTCCCCAAAACCCTGCCTAGTTTTGTTTGTAGGCGTGCAACCCAAGAAGACAGAATGTTAGTAATTAAATACAACTGTCAGCTGAGCAGCACTCTTCGTCTCAAGGGAAGGACTTTTAGAATTTGTGCTGACAAGTTGAATTGCAACTGTCAACAGATATTTCCTGAAGAAGGCCTGTAGGTTTAATACAAACTTATTCTGTGCTTTCTTCTTTTTAGTGTGTTTGTGTATACACTCACATATGTGATTTAGTCCTTTCTTTTGTTTTGTGTTGTGGCCATGGTTCATTTAGGTGACAATAAAAGACATAAAAACACCAAAATGTTGTATGACCTTATCCTTCAGTTGTGATAACAGAAGGATATAACAAATGTTTTCACTTCCTCTTTTGTATACATAATTCACCATATACCTAATTATCCCAAGTACAACAGGAAAGCTTTTGTTTAATTCTGTTGTCAGCTGTGTTAGTATGAAGAGCATTCCTTAGATTAATCCTTGTTCTCAGAAATTTTAACATAGTTAAATCAATATAGAAAATAACATTAATCAAAAGGTTAATTTCACTTTTAAGACAAAGTCTGAAATGTGTGGTAAGAATTTATTAGCATTTACTAGAGTTACAATGTTTAGCTTATGGACTAATGAAAATATATTGAAAGAAGGCAGTTACCCACTACATACTAGCAAGTTAGTTTCATAACCACCTTAGTGAAATCTAGGTTAATTTTCTTTATTGACTGTCATGATTTTTTTTTCAAAAAAATTAGTTACAATTGAACAGCATACATGATTAAATAGCCTCAAATCATCCATTAACTTGTCAACATCCAGGTCTTGCATGTCTAAAACTGATATAAATTAAGTGTGTATGAATTAAAATGAATTCTTAACACAGTGATGCTCAGACCACAGTGGTTCAGGAGCCAAATTAGGGATCAACATTACCCAAAAGAGCCACAGTAGTGTGAATTCATTGTTACATTTATGATAATACTATTCATATTTAAACAGTATGACGGGAAATATTTAGTTCATATATCTAGATAATTCTCACAGCAGATAAATTAAAAACTTGATAACTTAATTGGTTAATAACACAGTAAAAGCATCCTGATTGGTTGTTAATTAAATCACACAATGTTTTAATATTATGTGCTGCAAAGAGCCGCAGGAGACATGTCAAAGAGCCACTTGCGGCTCATGAGCCACAGTCTGAGTATCACTGTCTTAACATATAATTAAACAGCCAGGATAAAATGGTTGAGTCTAAAAATTTTAATTTACTTAGGTTGTTATAACTTTCTGTGAACTGTCCTCCAAATTTGAAATGTTTGGTTTTCCTACCTGTTGTCATGAAAGATGCTGATGAACAGATAAGGAAACCAGCAAAAGAGGGCTCTTTTGTTATAACTGTTTCACGTGCAAATCTGTGATACAGAGAATAGCGGATGGAGGGGGAGAATTTGTATTCTTACTTCTCTAATAGTTCTTTGCCACTCTTAAAGCAGTTGTATGTTGTCATCTTATAATACACAAGTCTTTTCAAAATAAAAAACAGTATTTCTTGCCTGTGAGATGTTTTTTTCTTTTCTTAGCACAAGGTGTGGATAATCACATTTCTAAATAGTGACAGAGCCTCAAATGACTTACACAGGCCATCCCAAGCCAGTACAAGTTGCAGTTTTATACCACACCACCATTTGCCCCATTTTCTTTAGAAAGATTATTGTACAAATTTTGTTTTTCTTATTTTATACTTCCGTTGTTCCACTTTATCACTGTAGCTGTAAATTTGGTTTGCACTAGTAACCATGAGTTACATGCTCTGATTCTGCGACATGACATTTGAAGAGTAGCTTATTATGCAAGTAATCCCATTGATTTTCATGGTTGCAGAAATAAAGAAGTTATGTAAAGGTTGTCATGACTACATAATGTAGGTAATCTAAATACATTTTAACAAATGCATTATTTGGTAGGTCTAAATTGTGGCAGGAATTTTCATTTTAACATATACTTTCATGGGTAGTTTCCTTATCCATAAGAGAGGTTCTTCTGGCTAAATTATGTCCTCAATGACGCTTGTTGTGCTGATACATTCCATGTATTAAAATGTTAATAGTATAATATTATGCATATCAGTGATTTAAGGCCTGAATTTGAGACATGTCAAGCTGCAAATTGTGTGAGCCTCTCACAAAGGAGTTTTTGGTCTTGTACCAGCTAGGTAGGCAAGCTGACCATGAACGGCTGCTGAGTTTTGACAATTAACTTTTCTATTACATGATATGCTCAGTAATTCATAGTATATATATATCCTTGTCTCCCCTGTATTCCATGATTCTGCAGTCACATAATTAGCCATGAAATTTACTCCTTGCTGCAGAATTGTTCATTAGAATGTCAGCTTTAATTAAAATACTATTTCTAGCCCTTATGGTTATGGAGATCATCTTGAACATGTGGAGAGAGTGTAAACTGATGCTATTACATCTCTTTGAAAGTGCAGTGGCTGAACCGCTACATTCATCTTACACAGAGGCTTGAAGACTCCACAATTCTGTGGCTGCAGGATTTGGCTCTTTGGATCTCTAGCAGATCCACAATTCTGTTATTTGGAGCTGGTCTGACCCAGTATGGCCATTCTTAGTTTCAAATTAATTGAAACTGGTGTGATTATGTAGTGTTGTTTTGACAAAATTTGCTGAATTTTGCAGAATTTTTACTTTTTTGGCATAGAATGCCCCCAGGAGTAAAGTGTGCTGAAATTAAACCTAGGAACTGAATTTTCAGGAACCAGAAGAATGGGTTGGATATTCAAGTTTCATCTTCTTTAATTGTGAAGAAATGGCCTTACACAAAAGATGATCAGTATGTACTCTAAAAACGTGTTGACAAAATAATAAACTCAGTCAGAAGTAAAATCTGGTACTTGGAAGACCTTTGTAGCAACTTGCTTCAGAAATAAGAACTACTTTCCTTGAGGGGTTAAGCACAGTAGCTATTCAGCTGTGTAGGAGGGAGCATATTAGTCATACTGTTAGTACTGAAGCATGAATGCTCTGAAATATGAGCAGCTGCAGTCTTGATGCTGCTACATTTGTGTATCTCATTTTTTGTGAGGTACCAGAATTTGAAGCATATGCTGTTAGCAAGATGTAGTAGAAAAAGTCTATTTGTTCTAGTCAGGATGGTGAAGGTTTATCGCACTGTTCAGTGAAGAGTGATGTCATGTGAAGTGCCACTCCTTTTTGTTTAACTAATGTTGCTGCACACATGCACGCGTGACTCAGTACTTTATGAACTGGGTACCTGTCAAATTTGGACATAATTTTCTGTATTTAAAGACACTGACAGGTTTGATCAGAATTAAGCTACCTTTATTATTACATTTTTTCCCACCAATGTGTTCTTTGCGTGTTCTTAAAACAAGAAACAAAACAAAAAACTACGAACCTAAAATATTTTGTTCTTCAAGTTAACAGCAAAGGAGTTGTATAGGTAATTGGCAATCCAGTTGGACTTCAAATAAATTAACTATAGCATTATTTTTATTAATAATTAGAATTGCAGTAAAACTATAGGTTCCTGGCCAGGATCTGGGTCTCACTATGGTATATGTTGTACACACGCTTAGGAAGACAGTCTTTTCCCAGAAGAGTTTTAACATCTTTACCTGTTGTCAGATATGGCCTTTTGCCTGATGGATCAGACAGTCCTTCTGTATACTTACTGTATTGCCTCTTCATTTGTTGTTCTTGAAAAAGTTATACATCAATCCCAGAAAACAAATGATCAAACTAACATTGACTGTGCCTTTAAGTAATATAATATTGGTTACTATTAAGGAATACATTTCTATAACTATTAGAAAGTGGATAGACTTATTGATAACAGCTGCTAATCAGTATCTACACAGCTGGTATTAATCTTTGGATACATTCTGTTGCTATAAAGTGCAAATTTCAGAAGTTATGCTTTCAAATCTAATATGATGGTGGTTTTTCTTAACATCTTGAGTCCAGTGAATAATTATTTTAATTAAATTGAATAACAGGCAATTTAATATTTGATATTTCATATTCAATATGTAACAGACTTCAATTTCAAGCTTCTAGGGGTTATTAATAATTTTGTTCTGAATTATGAAAAATATCAATAGTTCCCTCTTTTATGCCTATGATGGCAATATTTGTTTTAATAATGAAATATATCTGTTTAAAGTATATTTTTTTGATGTTTCAAAAATTTGCTTTTTTTTTTTCTCTCCTCAGATCTGTCCAAGAATAGATTAACTGATGTTCCTATGGAGCTGTGCCATTTTGTGTCACTGGAAACACTAAATTTATACCACAATTGTATTAAAATTATTCCAGATGCCATAGTGAATTTACAAATGCTGACTTACTTAAATTTAAGGTAAGTTAACTTTACTGTTTTTTCTGTATGTTGTCACTTATGATGGCTCTTTTTCTCTCTATGTTTTCCATGCATCTCTTCGGAAACATCACCGGCTATGTTGCTCATTTTATTAGCTTCCATAAAGCAGAAGCCAATTGCTAGTAGGATTTTTCTGTCCTCTGTTAATTATGTATATGAATACATCATAGGCTAAAATAAAAATAAGCTCTTACAGAAGATATGAAGAAGCATCGATTCTGCTTTGAATGATGGTCCCTGCACATATTCCACATGTGGCTGTGCAGGTGCGCCATGTGCCTGAGTCCAGAAGCGTTTCTTAGCGGTGTCTATTGACCCGCACATATGTTGTGCGTCCACTCATGCTCCCAGCCGAGGATATAATAGATAGTGCAGGTTGATGCCTCTCAAGTTCCCTCTTATCGCCACATAAGAATGGCCATACTGGGTCAGACCAAAGGTCTGTCCAGACCAGTATCCTGTCTGCCAGCAGAGGCCAATGCTAGTTGCTAGCAGAGGGAGTGAACCTAACAGGTAATGATCAAGTTTGTATTGATGACTACTGGCTGAGTTTTTTAGGTTAGATGAAATTAGACAAAGGTTTCTAACCATCAGAGGAGTGAAGTCTTGGAATAGACTTCCAAAGGAAGCAGTGGGGGCAAAAGACCTATCTGACTTGATAAGTTTATGGAGGAGATGGTATGATGGGATAACATGATTTTGACAATTAATTGATCTTTAACTATTCATGGTAAATAGGCCCAATGGCCTGTGATGGGATGCTAGATGGGGTAGGATCTGAGTTACTACAGAGAATTCTTTCCTGGGTATCTGGCTGGTGAATCTTGCCCACATGCTCAGGGTTTAGCTGATGGCCATATTTGGGGTCAGGAAGGAATTTTCCTCCAGGGCAGATTGGAAGAGGCCCTGGAGGTTTTTCGCCTTCCTCTGTAGCATGGGGCCTGGGTCACTTGCTGGAGGATTCTCTGCTCCTTGAAGTCTTTAAACCACGATTTGAGGACTTCAATAGCTCAGACATAGGTGAGAGGTTTTTCGCAGGAGTGGGTGGGTGAGATTCTGTGGCCTGCATTGTGCAGGAGGTCAGACTAGATGATCATAATGGTCCCTTCTGACCTTAATATCTATGAATCTGTAAGTGATCTCTCTCCTGCTATCCATCTCTGCCCTCTGACAGACAGACAGGCTAGGAACACCATTCCTTACCCATCCTGGCTAATAGCCATTAATGGACTTAATCTCCATGGATTTATCTAGGTCTCTTTTAAACCCTTTTATAGTCCTAGCCTTCACAACCTCCTCAGGGAAGAAGTTCCACAGGTTGACTATGCGCTGTGTGAAGAAGAACTTCCTTTTATTTGTTTTAAGCCTGCTGCCCATTAATTTCATTTGGTGGCCCCTAGTTGTTATGTTATGGGAACAAGTAAATAACTTTTCCTTATTCACTTTCTCCACACCACTCATGATTTTATATACCTCTATCACATCCCCCCTTTGTCTCCTTTTTCCAAGCTGAAAAGTCCTAGTCTCTTCAATCTCTCCTCATACGGGACCCATTCCAAACCACTAATCATTTTAGTTGCCCTTCTCTGAACCTTTTCTAATGCCAGTATATCTTTTTGGAGATGAGGAGACCACATCTGTATGCAGTATTCAAGATGTGGGCGTACCATGGATTTATATAAGGGCAATAAGATATTCTCCATCTTCTTCTCTATCCCCTTTTTTAATGATTCCTAACATCCTGTTCGCTTTTTTGACTGCCGCTGCACACCGTGTGGACGTCTTCAGAGAACTGTTCATGATGACTCCCAGGATTTCTTTCCTGATTAGTTGTAGCTAAATTAGTTGTATGTGTAGTTGTGGTTATTTTTTTCCAATGTGCATTACTTTACATTTATCCACATTAAATTTCATTTGCCATTTTGTTGCCTAATCACTTAGTTTTGTGAAATCTTTTTGAAGTTCTTCACATTCTGCTTTGTTCTTAACTATCTTGAGCAGTTTAGTATTGTCTGCAAACTTTGCCGCCTCACTGTTAATCCACTGTTAACATGGCCTGAGTCAGAACCCCTGTTCCTTTGTGCTCTTTGTATTCTATGGGAGTAGTGTAGCTTTCATTTAGTGCATATAGTTGTAAATAGGGGTATCTGCGTCAATGAGGAGAAGTCAGTGTTGATGCCTACACAGGAGATCAACTGTACTGGAGTGTAGCTTGACTCTGTCATGCGAAAGCCTTTCTCCCGGAAGACCACTTCACAATGCTGACAGCCCTCCTCAAAGATGTGCATCACAGACCACAGTCCACCGCTGTCTCTCCCTCCTTGGACATATGGCAGCCTGCACCTACATGACACCACACGCACATCTCCATATGCATTGTTTTCAAACTTAGCTCCTTTCCAACCAAGATCCTATGGGTGCCAGGGTCATCGTTCCCCAGACTGTGCTGGCCTTCCTCAGACGGTAGTCCAATCTTTCCCAGATTATGATTGATATTCCCTTCGCCCCTCCCACACTGCAGGCCACCATCACAGTGGATGCCTCCCTCACAGGGTGGGGAGCCAACTTACACCAACACACAGGTCAGGGTGTGTGGTCACCACAGGAAGCCAGGATGTACATAAATGTGCTGGAACTGTGGGCAGACTGGTTAGCGTTCCAGGCCTTCCTCCCACTTGTTTAGGCCCTCCATGTCCAAATGTTCTCCGACAACATTGTGGCAGTGGAATACATCAACAAGCAGGGCAGTGCCAGGTCTCCTTCCTTCTGCTTGTTGGTCCAGCTTTGGAACTGGTGCATCAAGAACGATGTGATGCTTCAAGCCACACATCTGCCTGGAAGCCAGAATTCCATAGCCAACATGTTCAGCAGGACACTCTATCTCAATCACAAGTGGGAGCAACACGATGCCATGTTCCAGTACTTCTTTGCAAAGTGAGGCACTCCCCTATGGGACCTCTTTGCCACTCCCAAGAATTGAAAGCTGCCCTGCTATTGTTCTGGGGAGCAACAGAGGACAGCTCTCAGGGAGACACTCTCCCCCTCCATGGCTTTCCCTTCCTATGACAGGTGCTACGCAAGGTTCGACAGGACAGAGCCATTGTCATACTTGTATCCCCATTCTGGCCCCATCAGTTCTGGTTCACAGACCTCCTCACTCTCCACCTGCACACCACTTTGCCTCTGCACACTCCCTGATTTACTCACACAAGAGTGCGGGAATATTTGTCATCCCCGTCTGGGCTCTCTTCACCTCACATCTTGATTTTTGGATGGGTGTCAAAGATAGACTGCCCATGCGACAGATCCTTACCCAAAGCAGGAGAGACTCCACCAGAGCCTGCTACCAACCTAAATGGAAATGCTTCACAATATGGGCCCGCTACCCCCATCATTCACTAAACATGGTGTCTATTCCAGTCGTCCTCGATGACTGTCGAGCACCTCAGTTCTATACGAGTGCACCTGGCAGCATTTAGTGCCTTTCTTGCTCCTGTGGACGCACCTTGGTCTTTATGCACCCCACCGCTATTCTCCTCATGAAGCGTTTACTTAACACCTTTCCACCAGTACTCAAGCCCATACCCCCATTGGACCTTAATCTCGTTCTCTCCATCCTCAGGAAGCCATGCTTTGAATCGCTGGCAACATGCTCCCTCTGCCACCTCTCAATGAAAGTGACATTCTTGGTAGCCATTACCTCAGCCAGATGGGTCAGTAAACTAGCGGCCATGATGGTGGACCCCACCTACCTGATATTCCACAGGGACAAAGTGTCCTTATGGTTCCAATCCAAATTCCTCCTAAAAGTGGTGTCAGAATTTCACTTAAATCAGAGCATCCATCTGCTGGTTTTCCGCTTCAAACCACATGCTTCCCCCACTGACAGAGCTTTTCACTCCTTTGACATCTGCCATGCATCGGCATTCTACCTACGCAGGACTCAACCCTTTTGTGCATCACCAAAGCTATTTGTGGCCATTGCCGAGCGGTCAAAGGGTCAAGCCCTTTCACACCAATGCATCTCCAAATGAGTGTCGGGGTGCATCTGCAAAAGCTACAACCAATCCAACACGCTCCCATCTGATAGTGTCACAGCATACTCTACACCAGCACAAGCCGCCACATCAGCCTCACTAGTGGAGGTGTCCTGGCAAGATATCTACTGTGCTGCAATGTGGCGCACTGTCCACACTTTCACAACGCACTGCGCCATCATGCAAGCGGAAGCTATAGATGCCACCGTAGGCAAAGCTGTACTGCAGACTGCACTCCACTGGCATCCTTGCGCCTACCTCCATGCTGATCACTGCTTGTGAGTCACCCATATGTGGAATACACCTAGGGACCATCACTCAAAAGAAGAGGAGGAGGTTACTTATCTGGACCTGGAGGTTCTTTGAGATGTGTGGTCCTTATCTTTATTCCACTACCCACCTTCCATCCCCTCTGCTTCGGACTGGATTCCACAACAGTAAGAACGAGACTGGAGAAATGTCGACCCACACTACCTATTAGCCTCTCGGCTAGGAGCATGAGGGGATGCACTATGCACATGTTGGTCAATGGGCACTGCTAAGAAACACTTCTGGATTCATGTGCATTGCACATATGCGCACCCATGTGTGGAATACACACAGGGACCACACATCTCAAAGAATCTCCAGTTACAGGTAAGTAATCTTCTCTTTTCTACCTGGATTTGTCTAATCAAATCTTGATAGCTAATTACAGCAACAATCCATTGATCTTTTCTCCTAAGTTTTATTATGACCGTAATAAACTTCACATGGCTCACATTGCTGATTTTGTAGTCACAAAAATGTATATATGGCAAATGCACTCTTTTAATTTTAATTAAACTTAGCATTAAATGTCTTATTGGCACCTACAGCATATATAGTCTCCCTTAGAAAACAACTGCATTAAATACTGTGAAGTTCACCATTTTCAGAAAAGTGTGAAGTTCTGTGCATTCA